CCAAAGCTGCGGTAGTGCTGGCACACGACCTGCGGGCAGAAACGGGCTGAGCCCTTGCCCAGCCCCACATGCCTGCGGTGTGCCAAGGAGGGCCCCGCGGCTGCGTGGTAGAGTTCATGGGCAAGAGCCAGCCACGAAGGGTGGCAGGGGGCCAGGGGACGTCCCTGGCCCTGCACCAGACGAGGGGTGGCACCCGTTAGGGGATGCAGAGGGGAGCGAGGTCTGGGGGAGGCACTGTGCTGGGCTGGGGTCGTGGGGAGGGGGGTGCCAGGGGGACACGAGGTGTTGGCAAAAGAGCAGGGGTGTGCTGCAGGCACCCAGGGGGAGGTGAGAGCGTGGGGCCGGCAGCATCGAGGAGCCAGGGCAAGGGGAAGGGCACGGCACCTGAACGATGTTGAGCTTGGGCAGCAGGTTGCAGTCGGCTAACGTGAGCTGATCCCCATCGAGGAAGCGGCGCTGGGAGACCCGGAGCTGGGGGTCGTGGGCCAGCTCGTACTCCAAGGGGGCACTCAGGTACTCGTCCAGCTTCAGCAGGGCCCGCAGCAGGCTCCGCTGCAGCGCTGCAGGGAGGGCGGCAGCTCTGCTGTGGCCTCCTGCCAGCCTGGCCCTCTGCCCGGGCAGTGGCCGCCTGCACTCTTCCTCCATTGCCCAGGCTGGCACCTGCCCCGGCCCTCCGAAAGGAGCCCTGGCTCGTCCACGCCGGACCATGTGGGGAGGGGCAGTGCCTGGAGAGACCCAGCTATGGCCTGGGGCAGGGGAGGGCTGGAGAGGCTGACCAGGCTTCGGGCTGGTGGCACTTGAAAGGTCGTGTGGGGTGTCCCCCTACCCAGCTCCTCACCTTCATCCTGGGCAGGCACCGGGTTCTTGATGAAGGTGGAGAACTTGTGGAAGATGTCGTTCCCGGCCAGGCTTGACTCCCTGTACCGTGGGACCAGGCTGGGGAACCTGCAGGGACGGGGGCACAGCTGAGGAAGGAGGCAGGGGCTGGCAGGCTTGTGTGCTAAAAACTCTCAGCCTGTCCTGCCCCTCTTTGGCCCCTTGTCCCCTGGCCACTGACATGGGGGGGGCCAGCTTGTCCTCCAGGAAGTCCTCGATGGTGACGGTGTCAGTCTTGGGCTCGCCGTTGTAGAGCAAAACCGGCAGCTGGGCTCCCGGCGCAAAGTCCTTCAGCACGTCCAGCGCCCTGGGGGAGGTGGGGACAGATGCTGATGCCTGGCAGTGCCCAGGGCACCACACACGCGTGTGTGTTTTTGCACACGTGTCCTGGGCAA